ATTTGTTATTATTATTATTATTATTATTAACATAAATTTATAGGTGTGACAAGATTTTACCATAAATTTCTCTTATTCTAGTAGGAAAAGGTGTCTGTGAATTTTGCATTGTACATGCAAACATTATACGCGCATGTACAGAGATAGTAGATAGATAGATATATAGACAGACAAATAAATAAACATATCGACATATGCACATACACACATAGATACATGCTATGATTGTCATACAATTCCAGCGTCAACGACTAGCATTACTAATTTTTTTATTGACAATAGTATATTCACTTTTTAGTAACGTTGACGATATGCACATCAAATTATTTAACTAAAATATATAATACTACGTTAGAGAGGAATATATATATTCACAGTTTTTGGTCTAGACAGATTCTTTCTTATGTAAAGGAATAAATAATGATAGTATATATACATATATAGTTTGTTTAAAGTTTTACGAGATAATGACAGTGGTGATGGTGTACACTGGTCCGTTTCCTAACATACCTACTTTGATTATTTCTTCCTATCCTGTTGTTACCGTTATCCTAATACTATTCCTTGTTGTTGGCGTTGACTTTGTTATTCGTTTCTTCTTTTTACTTTTTTTTTAAAAAAAAAATCAATTTCGCTAATTTCATACTAACCAGATGATGATCTTGTTAACAAAATATTCCATTAATATAAATAATTTTGAAAATTGTTAATTATTAACATGAATTATATGCTTATACATATGTATATACATACAATGGTGCATATATATATATATATATTGCTTAAATAAATGAATTTGGTTATAGTGTTACATTTTTTAAAAGAAAAATACAAGAAAAATTATTAATGATGATATTCGTGATAAAAGTATTGAATGTAATGAGATAACAAGTATTTATGCACACATAAGATGCTTCTGATGAGGTTTTTAAAAGATGAAATCAAAGTTAGTTGAAAAGATGAGTTATTCCACTTTTCTTACAAGTTATACCTTGTCCTGTATGCTTGTGTACTTTCATTTAATATTTATATATGTATATATATAATGTCAGCAAAACGAAATTCTACTAAATTTTTGACACGAAATTAATGCTTTCGCAAATTTACATATTAATGCAATTACAATAAGTAATTAGGCTATTTTATGTAGTTTTAATTAGATGTTTCTTTAAAAAAAAGAAAAGAAATACATATTACATGAATCTGGTGACAACTATAGTTAGTGAAGAAAAAACAGACTAATATTGTTGTCTGGTTCGAACATGAAACTTTGTGATAAGTGCATGTGTGTAATGTCAATTGATGTACTGTAGAAAAAAATAAGACACTTGAACGTTTATTAGTTTTCGATATCAGTATATGTATTCGGCTCGGATTTGAATTGGTCATTTTTTCCATGCAACAATTATTCACACTCACAAACATGTACACATAATTTAAACATTATATTATAATATTCTGTAACTTCATAAGTTTATCATATTTACCAATTATTGGTTATTTAAGCCCATGATGATAATTGATATAAGATCTTTTACTTATCACTGTGTATTCACCAAGACAGTATTAATTATCCGAATAATATTAGAAAGAAATTTGTCGAATATTTCCAACAAGACTTGAACATCCTGGGTTCGATCGCTGGTGGGATTGTGGACGTATATGACTGAGCAGTCTCATTCTAGGATGAGGCTTCCTGATTTTCTGTGATGAATAAACGTAATTGGTCTATGAATAATACAACCTGCAAATTAAATTAATTTCGACGAAACTTTTCTAACTATAATAATAAATATTTACGAAGGAAGATTTATATCTAATTAGTATTCATTTCACCAGATATTCCTTTCCTCTGTTACTTTATGAAAAATTCAAATTTGGTAACACTTGCGATGATTACTTGAAAGTTGAAATGTACATGGGCTGCAATAGAACTAAGTGGGCTCTAAAATCTGTAAAAACAGGTATTTTATTGGTAATTTTACTAAAAAATAATCAAAACCTTATCATGGAATTTCGAGAATGAGGGGAAGTGTTGTTGAAACAATGTTGGACTTATGAGAAAAGTCTCGATCATTTTATATGAAAAATATACATTTAGTCTTTGTAAATAGATCATAAATATTAAATGAATACATTAATCAATTCCTGAATAAAAACTAATAATATCCGGTATTTAGTGGTAGGCTCTTAAGAGTAGTTGCCAGGACAGACTGGACCTAGGTTTCATCCTACTTGGTACTTTTCAACAAGGTGCACGTGTGTGGGGTATGCTACTTATACGGACAGATATAAGTAGCGTGTATCAAAACTGGAAGTAGGACTCTTACTGACGGAACAGAAACGTGAGAACAGGATTTAAAGAACGATGAAGCTTATTTAAAGAAGACACACAATGTACTAAATTGATTGTTTTTAAATTTCACAAATGTAGTGTGTAATTTTGCTCAGTACAATAAACTGGTTCATTCTAGCCAATTCCTTGTTCCTTACACATTTAATGTTGGTAGAAATGTTTTTTACAATGAATCCAGCTAACGTTTCTAAGCCCTACAGTCTACGATGCCATCGCTGTATTACTCTAGCTGCAAATAACTTCCTGTATTATTGAGGTATTTACATCGGCTTATCGACAAGTAGTGATCTATGTAAATAACTATCAGTGCCCTCAATATTGCAGGTTCACCTTACTGACCACTGTCTACCAGCAAGAAATATGGGTTCGATTAAATCCGACCGCCCAGTCTTAAAATCTGAGTTCAGGTGATGCTAAATTACTTAGATTAGTGACCACACTACACCTTGATCAACATAATTCGATCAAAACTAAGGACTGGCCAAATACGATACTCATCGTCACTCAGTCAGTAAATATTATAGTGTCTAATCTTTGATAACAATTGAAAATTTTTCCATAATGGCTGGAATATGACTATTAGGTCAGATGATTTGATATTGCCATATACTTATTATGGATTTCAGAACATTGAAGGTAATCTACCTGAATAACCAAGTGGCAAAGTCTGTGACAATGATATTGACTTTAACTGATCTAAATCTTTCCAAGACTAAAAGTCCTTTCAATAGTACAAACATATTTCATTAACGAGTCTCGACAAAGACGAATTATAACTCTAGCATTCCTAGTGAATTCCCTTTAAATATCTAAAATTATATGGGTTATTTCATTAGTAAAATGAGTAGTACCACTGATCATGATATTTTTTTACTTTGGAATCAAAACAACTGATGTACAGCAATCGATGAAATGTTTTAGTCATTCAGCATCATCTACTGTCCAAGCAATTATATTTGCTATCCATTGGTAATAGATTTCCAAGCTAAAAGTCAACTAGTTAGTATCTCACTATAGCCGTCAACATTTTTTACATGTATGGCATTCATTATTCATTGTAAATTTTTATACATTTCGTTTGTCATTGTTCAGGACTGAAATGATAAGTCACTATTGGTATATGAATTATTTGAATGTATGACATTACCCAGATTTTCAAACTGATAATAATTTAGATATTGGTTATTAACGAAATCTATCCCTTTCATTCCATTGTTCTATGCTTAACATTATAGTACCAATGCACTTATTAATTCCATCTTAATTTCAAATATACACACTTTAAATAATTAAATTCATCATATTGATTATTATGTATTATTATAATTATTAGTGGGTTTATTCAATATTATATTTTTGGTACAATACTCATTATCATAATCTTCAACTACTTATATTATCAGTTAATCGACTCATGAAATTAGAGACTCTATTACGAATTCATTTACACTGATTCATTTACAGGGAACCCTAATTCCAATTTATTCAGCTCAAACTCCATTTATCGCTAATACGCAGTCAGGAAACCTTTTATTAGTCTTATTAACCTTTTATTAATCAGTCATAGGTTCTACGTAACTTTGCACACTAAGTCGCAATAGTAATTAACTGGGTAAATGAAGTTCTAGATGTTTATTCAGTAACATGTAAAATATTTATTATTGGCGAAATAATTTCTTTCACTTATAATTTGAGTCTGTGAGACTTAAAATTAATGAGTCGATTCTGGTTTTTATAATTTCTGATTTCATAATGTAATAAATCATATCAGATGGGTTTTGTGGATATTATAGTAATTTCAATGGTTAAGATCATGAGTCATTTGAAGCTAGACCACCATGAAAAACCCGGAAGCACTGGACGGCCGTTTCGTCCTATTGTGGGACTGTTTGGTAGTGCGCATCCACGACCTCGCCCCCTGTGAGATTCAAACCCAGGACCTACTGGTTTCGCGCGCTAGCACTTAACCACTAGACCACTGAACCGGCATCCAACGGTGCTAATGTCTAACTCCAACTAATCCACGAAATTGAGCGACACATTCACCATTGTCTTCAGTGAGTCACTATCCCACAACAGATCCGATTGAACTCCACTGGTCACTGCTTCTCACTAGAACTCCAGGATATACCTCGTGAAGCCAGTCATTAGTGAGCATATGTTGATTAATATCAGATGGGTTTTGTGGGTATTATAGTAATTTAGATGGTTAAGATCATGAGTCAGTTGAAGCTAGACCACCATGGAAAACCTTGGTTCGAATCTCACAGGGGGCGAGGTCGTGGATGCGCACTGCTGAACAGTCCCACAATAGGACGAAACGGCCGTCCAGTGCTTCCAGGTTTTCCATGGTGGTCTAGCTTCAACTGACTCTTGATCTTAACCATTGAAATAAATCATATACCAAATACTCGCTATTCAAATCTTTCTTTACAGTAGCATCTGTGAAGACTGTCAACAAACAGTTTTTTTCCTAAACTCCACTCTAAATACATTCTGTACCTAAACCTTCTACTTACTGTAAGAAATTTCATTGGCTACATTTACTAGATGGATAAAAATTTTACTCAATTATTATTGGTTGACACGAAGCGCTTAATTTTTTATTTACATAATATTATTTTATTTTGATTGGTCGCCTATTCAACAACTAGCGTTCTTATGTTTATTGAATTAGAAAACGAAAATTATTTAATTGTTAATATCAAAAATTACACGTTGATTAATAAATAATTATAAAATTCATAGTGATCATTATTATTTTCGACGAAATGTTGAATAACTCAATGGATTATGAGAATATGGAAGATATCTTACCGAACACATCAAATTATTTTTCATATTGTAACCAGCGTGTGGATATAAAAACTCATGAAAGTAATTTGAGAAATATTCAAACAGACAATGAGAATACAGTCATGACAAAAGCATCAAAACAATTACATTTTTCAATAGATGCCTTGCTAGATGATGACGATATTGATGGCAATGCTAATGAAAATGGTGACAATGATGATGATGATGCTGATGATGATGATGACGATGATGATGACGACGACAATGATGGGGATAACGAAAATATCGACAATGACAGCTGCAATCATTGTTGCAATCTGGTTAATTCTGACGAAAATAACTTGGGGCTCAAAAATTCTATTCATACAGAAATCGACGGTAATAATTGTAACAATAGTAACAACGATAATAATAACAACCACCATTTCAACAGAACCACCTCGTTATTCAATGAAACTAAAGTCAATAGTAAAAAATCGCATGGGAAATCTAATCATGATAATGGAAGTGAAGAAAAGTTTACCAATAAGCTTAAAAAACATCATGACGTTAAATCATCAAGAATAAATCAAAATAATAAAATTTCTACAAGTTCATCATCCTGTAATTTTCCAAGCAAAGATACTACTGACAATAATATAAATAGTAGTAATCATATTGATAATGAAATAAATCATAATCAAATGCCTTATTTTAAGAAGCATAACTTTTTTAATTCATTACACGAATTATCATTCAATGATTATTTAACATTTGGTAATAGTGCAATTGGATGTAAGTCAGTGAAATTTACCCTTCCTATTTTCATTTTCCCCCAATTTTAATCATAATATATATATAGGACACTAAGATATTTTATTGTAGTAATCTAATGATAACATTTTCAGAATTTAATTTCATCTTTGCAGGCCATACGGAGTGATATTCGGATTAACGATCTTAGGATACATCGTCAAATATCCATTTAACACTATATGGAATACTGTTTTTAGCCAAAAGAGTAATTATTTATTTCAGTTTTCGAGCATGCAGCGATTAAATTCAATAGGTTTGTGGAAAATGTGCTTGGATATTTGAAGTGGAAGGTACTGGATTTGAATATATATGTGAACATTAACACTGAATTGTAGGTAGTTCCAGCTGATGAATCCCAAATAGGACGAAACATGGTATTTATTCCGCTGCTAGTTACTATCACACTGCATGAAAAAATTTAATCAGTCATTTTCGCCTTGATTGGTTATGAAAATAGTAAATTCACTTTAGTTTAATGAAAATTTCTAGTATGAAATTCATTATGTCCAAGTTTAGTTCTGATTAATCCATTATTAAATTCTTGAGTGATCAGCAAAATTGTAACAGGCGGTTTATTAATGATCAAAGTAATTGGTTTTCAACAATCAAATCATGCCTTACGACTTAGATTCATCTACTTCAGCTTGAATAGTGGGTTAGTGTTGTTAAACCATCTTCACAGGAAATGTAACTTCAAGCCAAGTATATTAATCTATCCTTAGTAAATAAGTTATGTAAAGTTGGTTCGATTCAATAAGTTTGATCTTAATAAAAATAGATACTTAACAGAATAGAAATAAATAGTTGTGAGAAAAATCAATAAACTTTTCTGTTAGAATATAATTTGTGTGTTTGTTGAATGTTAAATTGTATAAATGCCATTGCTTCGAATGTAAATATCATTAGATTGTCTATGACTGTTTTGGACCTAAAAGTAGTTGATAATTTAATAATTTTATCGGTGATAGTTTGATCACAACATACTAGTATTAATTTATTTGGCAAGTAAAGATTCGTGTATTTGGCTTCAAGTAATACTCCAAATGTGACAGCTAATGATATTATCCGATTACCCAAACAGAAGTAGATCGAGCAAGGTTCAGACCTGTGACTTAGTGGCTAAAAGTTGAATGTCTTAACCATTGGGTCACTTTTCAACATACAACACGGTTTTCGGTTGTGTTGTATATTCTGAGTTATATGGTTTAATTTGAGAGCTTTCATTGTCATTCTAGACACACATCTTCAAAGCTTACTTTATTCAGAAATACACTTTTCAGTTATTCCACAATAGTTACGCCAGTCCATTCCAATGGTCTTGCTTTTAATTGGCTGCCTTAGTGGATTTTGTTTTCTTCATTTGTCTTTGTATTCATGCTGACCATCATTTGCGGCCGAACTCACGAAGTGACTTGTGTGGCTCATAGATATTCGGTGCCCCTTTGTACAAATATTTATGTGTTCAAATAAATAAACAATTAAAGGACATAGCCCAAAGATACCGCACCACCAAAAGACTAGAGGTCAACAAGCAAAGACAGTCAACATGAATACAAAGACAAACGAAGACGACAAAATCCACTAAGACAACTGACCACAAAGAAGACCATCGGAACGAACTGATGTAACCATTGTGGAATAGCTGGAAAGTGCTCTTCTGCATGAAGCAATCTTCAAAAATATGTTTCCAGAATTACAATGAAGCTCTCAAATTAAACCGCATAACTAAGAGAATACAGCACCACCAATAGCATCTATTCGTAGAAGTAAATGATGACTATCATTTCCATAGTGCATAGTTTTTAATTAGTCAACTTTTAAGACCATAGTCTTGCCCATTCATCTTCTAGTTCGAACAACCAATTGAATAAATAATCCCGTTCAATTAATAAAAGAACAAACTTCCAATTGTTTATTTTAGTGATATTAAAAATGTTTAGGAACGTAATGTAGTTTACATACTATGAAAATTGTTTGCCATACAACACATATTTAATCTTATAAGTTCATCAGAATGGGTCACTGTGTAGACTATAGTGTTTTAGTTTACATCGATTGTGGGTCTTTTTCATATCGTTATTAGTATGAGTTTGAACTGTGTCGTTTTTAATTTTCAGCTCAATGTATAGATAAGTAGTCATTTGAAGCGAAAGTTACTGAGTTTGAACGTCAGTAGTCACATCCATCTTGAGTTATCAGCAGGACGAAACAAATCTCCTAAAATCCACAACAAATCCGTTCTTAAAATGCGTTTTTTTGTTTATTTTGTTAAACTTAAAATATAAAGTGTATACAATGTTATTGTACCCTTACAATTGATGTGTAAATGTAGAAATTTTAATATGTAAAATATTTTATCCACATGTTTCTTCTTCTTCAGTGAGACCTATTTTGCTAACTTTTGAGATTATGATTATGATCTAGCAATCAGACACACGTTTATTACACCATCCATTGATCGATGAAACATCTCAAACTATGAAACTAAGTGACTCGTATTTGAACCCCAAAAGAAGCATTAGTTCACGTAATACTGCAGATACATCTTGCCAACGAGTACCAACTAGCATGGTACATATACCCAGGATTTTCCGTTAATTGCGATATAGAATTACTTAGAATAGTGGCCAAGTTGTAACATGAAATTCGATTAGCACCAATGACTAGACAAATAAAACATTGGTTACTGTTCAGTAGCCAATCAACAGTACATTTGTCCGTATGATGTAATCATGCTCTCTTTGAACGAGATTTTCATTTCTGAAGTCAAAACAGATAATGATATTATTAGTGGCATTGGACGGTCGACCATCTATATCACCAATTGACTGGAGTTGAGATCATACTATTGGACACGCAGCATCAGCTGCGAGACTTGAGGTCGTACCTTCAATCATTGTTGGATTCGTTGGTGAAAATTCAGAGGCGTTCCATACAAAGGCGAAACAGTTCTACAGTGCTTTCTAATCTTCAATAGTAATTGTGTTATTTATCTATGTTACGCCTGTTACTCCTCAGGGATCATAACCACCAACTAGGATTTTCCAGTCTACTCTGTCCTGGGCTCTCCTTTCCAGTTGTTGCTAAGTGTTATTTATTTTTTTTGGTGTTTGCCTCCAATTCCCAGCTCAGTATGTTCTTTGGTTTGCCTCTTTTCTGTTTGTCTTGAAGACTTTGATTTAGAGCTTGATTTATGGTGAAGTATGATTATTTTGGCTATGTGTATCCAATCCACCTCGGAATTTTCCTAAATGATATCAATCTGTGACGAATACAATTTAGAAATTAAACTAACTGCCACAAAAGCGCCTTGAACTAAACCAACAAAATAATTTGAATTACAAATATAATCCATCGTTTGGTTGTGAATGATCATAAACATTGTTTAATCTAACACAGTAATGTGAATCTTTTGAAGTAATTCCAAGCATAATGCTGTGTAACCATGATGTTGAAATATTCCTTCCATTACATAGGAAATTTAGTCCCAAAATTAATAGATGAATATGTATTCAATATATGACATAGATCACACAGATTTTAATGAATTAACATAGATGAGAGTACGCGGTTAATTATCGACTCGATTTATTGTAATGCGACTTGAACTTGCAGCTCTCTAAACGGTTGGATTATCTTGGGTGTATCTACTATCAATATGAAATAAATATATACCTCTTCAGCTAATACTTTTCCTTCTATGTTTTTCATCTTTTAATTTCTTATCACTCTGTCCTGAAATGAGTTATGTTAATCTGAACCAGTACACATTCGTATCATGTTTTATGATAACTAGACTTTACTGAGTAAATGGTTTCCGCTACAAAATAATAGCAAATCAGGATTCCGTAAAAACAGAGAACATTGGATATCTATTTTTATTTTAAATTAAAGCATCTCAGCAATGTCAGTCTACAACCTCACACACATATGATCATATGACCAATGAATTTTAAAAGTCTTTTGGTGAATTGATAGATAATTCCCATTTAAACACTATAAATTAAAACACGAAGTTCAGCGAAGCGATCTCTTTTCAACGAATTTATTATCAAGCTGTACAATCGTATATATATGAATTTTTTTTGTTAAGGTACTAATTCCATGAGGAAATATAAACACGAATAACCAAGATGATGTAATAGAAAGAATTCTAATATTGTCGTCATCTTTCAAATACATGATCACAATTTATTAGTTCGTAACCTTAACCTCAGCTAACTGATCTTTATACTAATTTTATGGATAGATCTGATGATTTATTCCCAATTCGAATAACTCTAGAAATTACGGTTTCACAATCAAACTTGTGAAGAATTTCGCCATACCCACATCGCCACATCCATCTTGTCATTTATCAATACTTCATTGTAGTTTATGAAGATGTTTTGTAAAAAAATGACTTGGACAGCTTAGAAGGTAGTTATATATATATATATATTCATTTTATAAAATACATGCAATCGTTCCTGTGACACAATATTGTTTATTGTAATTATTAATTAATAAGTATATTACTGGTGTGATTAAAATAATTACTGACCTGTGAATGAGTTCAAATTATAACAATTCTATTGTTATATAAGAAATCAAAACTTTACTGAATATGCTTATTAAATTAATGTTAATTACTGTGAATAGTAATAATGAGTTTATGTGTTGATTAACTGTGTAATTAAACATTCTACTTTCCGGTATATATATACATATGTATATATAATCTCTTTGATTATTGTAAGTTATTCCGCTTAGTTTCATATTTATATATCATTGATGACTTTCATGGAATTGATGTTTCATACAAATAAACAATGTGAACTGAATTCAGTTCACTTTGCATAAAGAATTGATTCATTTTTGAGGAGAGTGGTGAATTTTTAATACACTTGTTATCATAATTAAATATTTTAAGATTTCAGTTCTTCATGACAATATATAGAAGGATCATTGAGAAAAATAAAGATATACGAAACAGTTGTCTAGTGCTATCTAGTTTTTATTGTTACTTCAATTAATCTGTGATAAATAACACCCACAAATTAAAATGGTCACTGAAAAATCTTTCTTCGATTAAAAATCAAATAGTTATGTTCCATTTGTTTTCCTTTTCATATGAGGAATATCTTGAAACAAACTAAGTTGTGTTGGTCCCTTTGTGTTGAGATCTACTCTACTCGCATACATTCAGTTTTGTTTTCTGTCAGACAAATCGAGGGGGGTTTTAAATTTTAATTATTATCAGTTGATTTTACATACTCAATAATCCAATTAGGTATGTGTTTAGTTAACTCAGTAGATTTGGTTTTTACTACATACGTATAAATAAGAAAGAAACGTTTAAATTCGCAATCTTCCTTTGGAAGAAATTACTTCTTAGTACAGTAAACTACTGTGTATCTAGAAAATAGTAATTACGTCTTGGTGAATACTGTGAAGATGATATTTTTAACATAATTTATGAAGTAATTGTTAGTTGATTTTAATATTATAGATCGACTGGTTATGAGCTCAACCATTGCTTTAACTAGTCCTGTTTTAAGTAAACGGATCATATAACTAATTGTCATACTTAACGTTTTATTTAAAGTTAAGTGTAAAAACCCATAGTTAGTTAATAAATTACATCTTAATTGATCGATTTGTTATTAATATATAATGAATTCGGATTAATTTTATCCACTGGTAGTTGAGTAGTATCACAAGCTCCCATACACATATTGTATTTTGTGTTTAAGTAAACAAAACTTAAAGTCATTTATAAATCTCATATGAACATAAATACAACTTGCACGCAACCTGTGTTCATTGGGTATTAACTAAAGTTCTATCATTTAGCTCTCAGTATTAGTCGATTGTAACTAGTGAGTTAATTGATTTGACACTGCAGTTTATTTTCTTAATAATATATGGGTAAAAACACTAGACAGGTTATTGCCAACTTAATTTTCATGATGTTTAATACGCTTTAGTGAATACATCTCTAATATTCAGGAAAGATTCAAGGTTACGACAGTTCTTTTCGATATGTTATTCAAGTGTTGACCATTTAATCATCTGACCTCATATCCAGTTTGTCAACTCCGAAAACAGACGGAAATATTATCGGGAGGTAGATGAATAGATTGAACTAAAGGAATGGAAGGCATTCACTTGTGATTCTTTACAATATTTCAATCACATTTTTGCATATTATTAGGGAACTATTTGAGATTTTATATGATGTCTATTTCCAGCCTACTTTTTTATAAAAGAGCGGAGAGATGAGACATTTAATAGGTACACGCAAAATATAAATTCCCTACACATTAGCTTATATAACTCATGGGTTGATAGTAGATTATCACAAATTTCCTGAACAGATTCCCATGAAAGTCCGTAAACTGAGGCGAACAGGACATACGACACGAATATCAACTCAATAGCTACTCATAAATCCTACATTGAATAACACTATAGAAGTAAACTGACATTCAAAAAGATTAAGAGGCTAATTGATCATTGAATAGTTTTGTGTTGTAATGTCAAGTTGTTTGTATTATAAATAGTCACTCACCCCTCATATTGCTGAACGATGATATCTTTGGCTGGTTAAATTTCATGAGAAACATCATTTTTCATCAAAATGTTCCAAGTAGCATGATATATATTTCCGAGCCCTTGTCTTGATTAACATCAACGATGTCAAATGAAGTATATCACGATATTTAGTGTCTTAGAGACTACTAGCCACATTAGGATTTGATTAAAAAAATTGATTAACACAACATTAATAACTGATATGCGATCACCGCTTATTTTACATTGAATATATTTTTACAAATTAGTTCTTCACTCATATACTTATTTATTTGATAAAACAAGTTGTTTTTCCCTAAATTTCTCTTTTTAGCTCGACCTATTCCACAAAAGTGTACATTACGTAAGCATAAACCAAATCGTCGACCAAGAACTCCATTTACAACTCAACAATTATTAGCATTAGAAAGGAAATTTCGTCAAAAGCAATATTTGTCTATTGCAGGTTGGTTAATTTATTATCATTATTATTAATTATAGTTCACACATACATTTCATTGTCTTTTCGAAGCATATTCTCAAAGATTGATTTTCCTCATTATCATTATCACCACAATTATTTGATTTCCTTTGCTGTTCATCTTCTTGTGGTTTTATGATACGGTAACTCGGGTTAACGTGTATTTGTACCAAGCTGTACTCTGACTATGGGAAACTTATTGTTATTATTATTATTCTTATTATCAATATTGTTTTGAGTACTGTTTTTATGTATGAGAAATGTCTATCACGTTTACTGCTTGTTCAATATAAAAAAACCAGTTTCATGTTATTGTAGCGATAAATATGTGTGCAGAAATCAGTATTACTAGAAACTGTATTTAGTATTCCTGTGTGTATGAGTGTGTAATATGAAGCTTTCTAAATTTAATGGCCATCATTTAGAAAGTATGTTTCTATAGTTGAAATTTATCCTTCGATAATTAAAACTGGTTTGATCTCAAAAAATAATGAATTTTATGTATATTGAAATAAACGTCTCATTACAATATGTGTTAAAGTTAGTGCAATTATATAAACGATTCTTCTCAGTCCCTCAATTTTTTCCGTATGACTTCTACTGAAAACAATTCCAATATGCGTGTGACTGATGTTATTATATATAGATGTTAACATTACTCTTACAGATTAATTTAAAATGCATGAGTTCTCTGTTAATGTGTAATAGTGCTCCATGTAACTGTAACTGTAAAACATGAAAGTCTTGAGTACGATCTCTAGGGGAGTAGTAAGTGGATTCTACTAAGGAGTTACAACCAAAGATCAAATAACTGTCATCTACTCTTTATTTTTCAGTGATATCTCAAACGAACACCAAACTATTATACATATATCAAGGAGAACAAATCAAATATTACCTAAACTCACTAAAGTCTTTACTCTAGTCTCTCCTTATCGATCAACGTTTTATTAATGTCGAAGACAATTTTATATATTCACCATAAATCTATTGTTTACCATAACGACTCATTATTTCCTACATGTTATCTTATTACTACCTGTTTTACTGTTTCCTAAACTCTTTAAAAATACACTTCTATACAAAAGTAGAACCTTGAAAACTTTCATTATTGTTAATAGTCAACTTTTAGACTAGATTATAAAAATGTTTATTGATGGAAATCTGACATCGTACAAACAACCGATTACAATATTATTTCCTCAAATAAAAGTCATTTCTTGTTACCGATATCTTTCTTTATTTACACTACAGCAAAGAACAACTTTCAAGCACATTAGAATTTGTTCATGTAAAGTAAAATACTAAAAGCTTTAAGACCTTCAATAGAACTCAATCATCACTGAAGGCTAGACAAATATGTCAGCGTGAATATCTTACCACTACAATGGGTCTGTCATTTCTTTAATATCTCATTAGTAACGCGTCTAAATAGGGCACTGGGTGGCGAGAATTAGAATTTCACAGAGCACATTAGTATCCTCAATATTTCAGATAATTTTCTCTGGTGATTGCCAACTAACAGAAAAAATAAACACATAAATTCTTGTACATTCCTACCAAAATTAGATAATTTTACCAATACTTACTAAGTTGCAGATAAAAATTGTAACTTTATAGAATCTGTTCAACTAGATGCAAAATTAGATTGAAAATATAAAATCACTGTAGCGTTTACATATAACATAGGAATCTTAGAAACGAAACTAGAGTTCATCATTTTGTCATTAATCACTAAAATATTATTTATTATCATATTGTTCGACTAAGATTACTAAGATTACAAACCGATCTAAGTTAGATAACTATTGAAATCAAAAAGGACTAGTCAATCATTCTACTCCTGTATGAAACTCTTCAGTACTGCTCATTTACGATCTCATAACTAAGAATCGATTATTATTATTATTATGACTAATATACATTAAACTAGATTCGTTTCTTCATCATGAACATTTATATCACTAACAGGAAATAAAACCTCTTTCACCATTTAATAATAATAATCAAAAAAATTAACTGTTGAATAGTGTTCATTTCATTTATCCATCTAAAATAATTTTATATCATATATCATAGGGAGATTTTTATTCATGTGATTTATGTTCACCTTTAATAAATCCATCATTTTTAAAAAAAAAATAAAAATACATCTCATCTAAATATATTACTCATATAATCAAGTCTACAAATAAATAATGGTAATAATACATGATTACCACTTAGAATTATTTACTATTATTACTATATCAACATGATTATTACCATTATTATTATTATTATTATTATTATTATTATTATTATTATTATTATTAATGGATTGTTTACTCTGTGTACTTATTACTTAGAATAGCACTCAGTTTATTTAACGATTCATTAATAAATTAAATCATTTGATTAATTTCTCCTTTAAAGCTGTGAGAAAAATTTCTCCTATTATAATATAATAATAATACTGTTTATCCTATATGATTATTATTTAATGGGAAATATCCTTTTTTTTCTTTCTGTAATTTAAACAACAACAACAATTAGGTCAAATCAATTAATTATATTTTTATCCATTACTTATTCAACTATGAAATGATTATCATATTCACAAAACCCCTCACTTATTACTTATTTATTTTGTTAATGTTTTTGCGTTGTGTTAAACAACAGTTGAATAAATTAAACACAAATGACACATATATTCTTTTTAATTATTAGATATGTTCATAATGTATTCAACTATTTTTATCTTCAAAGTTGAATTGATGAGTTAATTTAAGTTAGATCACGATTGAAAACCCGAAAGCACTGGATGGTTGTTTCATTCTAGTATGGAGACTTCTCAAGAGTACACATCCATGATCTCATACTAGGGTTTGAACTCAGAACATTCGATCTATTATCTTATTATACGGATTAATATCATGTTTAACTGTGGTTAGAGGTTTGTACTTAGGCTTTCGGTATGTTGTTAGTTTTAGGAAAGTATAACTGAAAATATAGGCTTAACATTGAGAGTCCACATAGTTAACACATTGTAAGGGCAAAATGAAATATTAGTTAGATACCGAATAAGCATGCAGAATGATAAAACAGGTTGATAGCAATTGAAATTTCATAACCATCCGTTTAATTAATTCTGTTAATCTAGATTGAAAATATAGAGTTCTAAATATTTTTTAATGAGAATACCTCTGAATATAACATTGAATGATAGGTGTTAAAATCCTACAAGGATCATCAGTTCCCTTAATATTGTACACAAGTCTTGCTGATTATTATTTATTAATACCATTAATGTATTTATTCAATATTATGTTTTTTGTACAATATGGAATTCTGAGCAAAAAGTATTTCCATAAGTTTCCTATTCTTGTTTCTTGACCGATCCTGACGATAAATAGTAAACGATCTCCAGTTAGATGTCAGCAGTTCAGGAATCGATATCTGAATAATATTCATTTTTTCAATCCATATTGCCAGCCACCACGTTGTCTCTAAATCTACTGTTTTGTAACTTGTACAGCAAAAAGTTGTAAAAGTTTCATAAATGCTCCTGAATAGGTTATGTGATTAGTAGACAGAATGATGTGTCAAGAAACAGATAACTTGTTAAAATATATCAAGATGTAAGGAACAGGTAGCTCAGATATTGAAAGAGGTCGCCGCAACCACCAGAGTGAAAACTGACGTGAAAATTAGATTCTCGGATTCATGTCAATCTCTTGGCGATCATCTAACATTAAATGTTAATACAAAAAGTCATGTACAACTGACTGTCTACTGTATCGTTTAATAAAATATTTCTTTCATCAAATGAGTGATGTTTAACACCATACACAGTATTACTCCTTTTTTTCGATAAAGTTGATTCTCTCAATAAATACAGATTATTTTAATATATTAGAAAATCTAATTGATGTGATTAAGATTCTTTTGATCAGATTTAACATTTCTATATGTGCATGTGAATTATTGTAAGAAATTTTATCTGTGTACATTAATGTATGCGAAAACCTTAATCATAAATGTGGACATAAACAGTTTATCATTTTACTTCATACTGTTCAATTCTTACTTTTTTTTGACAATAACAACTTTATCGTTATGATCAACATACGTTAACGAAGTATTTTTTTTTAAGGAAATAAACAATCTTTACTCATAAATGTTTCATGTTTTACTGATCTGTGTTTTTATCTTTTATCTGTTAACAGACAAAGTTTTTTGTTTCATCATTTTTCACACTACATCATTACAAGGTGATTTTCTTTTTAAAAAAAAAACCTGTTCTTTATCATAGTGCGCATGAAAATGACGAAACAAGTTATTTAACCATCTACATCAATAATATGAACATAATTTGAACATACTTACTACACTCTTTAAGCTAAAAATATGATTTCTTAGTGTTCTCTATGTATGTCTGTATATGTTTACATGTGTAAGGTATACCTTTCATCTTACATGTTTAAACAAACCCTATGGAAAGACGGGTATAATTAACCCTATTATTTAAAAAATATATTTGAGGAAATTGACTTATATTTCAGAAAAAAAATATTTAAATTGATCATCATTCATTACCGTTATCACTTTGAATCTTTTCCATTCATTGTGCACATCCATGTTTATGTTTATATGTGTGTGTACATATCATTATCATTGTTCCATTATTGTTCATGTGATTGATTATGTTAGTACACCGGTAGGCAGTTTGTTATTATCATGTATATGTATGTGTATATTAGTGATATACAATTAAGTGAAGGTAAATTTTCCATGTCCTACCTTCATAATTTTTGGTTAATTTGTGTTTTGGCGATTTTCTTTCCATGTAAATTCTTTTCTTCCCCCTTAAACCATTACTTGTCACTCTTACCTCTCATTGATATTATCCCTCCTCCAATTTTTCCCCACCTCCATGTTTTCATTTTTAAATTGAAGACAATCGGTAAAATAATAAGTTTAAAGAATTTTCAATGTTTGTTTTT